CCAGAGCTGGACCAGGATGGCCTCGGCACCAGGTACCTGCCCACGGCCCCAGCCCCTCCCCAGTGAGTGCGAGCGGGGGAGGGACCTCGGAGTCCGGAGTCAGGGCGGAGGGACAAGGCCCCCTGGATGCTGGGCTCTCGGGCTTCTGCGTGGAGCCTCCTTGGCGGGACCTCATTTCCGGACGAGGACTCGGTGTGGGGGTGGGGCAGCTGCTGGAGGGCTGAGGAGTGGGCCCCGTGGGCACTCTGGGGGGGGTGTGCGGGGGACTTACACACTGACCCCCTCAGCACAGGGGAGGGCTGGGCGCCCTGTGTGTAAATCCCTCACCACCAGGCACGTGTCCCACTCTCCACAGGGGGTCCTGCTGGGACGTCCCAACCCCGGGACAGGGACTCGCCAGCCTCCAACTCCCCACCGCTCTACAAGCCCAGCTTCTGCTGGGACGCCCTGGCCTCGGCCTACAGCCACAGCTACCGGCAGGCCCCCTCCACCATGCAGTCCGCCTTCCTGGAGCGCTCCGTCAGCCTGTACGGCAGCCCCCTGGTGCCCAGCACCGAGCCGTGGGATCGGGGCCTCACAACCTTGTCCTCGTCACCAGTCCTTGAGCCCTGCCCGTGTGCCCAGCCCTGTGACACGCATGAGCCGGGGGAGCGGACGCAGGTTCAGAAAGGGTGAATCACTTGCCCAAGAGCACACAGCAAGGAGATATCAGAGCCAGGCGCAAACCTCCCTCCGGCCAACTGTCGTCTTTAACCACTAGGCTGCCTAGTCAGCTCTAGAAAGGGCGACGGGGGCCCTTCCAGACCCCCCAGTCCCACTTTACAGACAGGAAACCCAACCACACCCAGGTCTTCTCCACCCCACACGGGCTTGAGGTGCACGCCCGTCGCTCCCACAGCGGGACCCGGCCCTTCGCCTGTGACGTCTGCGGCAAGACCTTCGGCCACGTGGTCAGCCTGGAGCAGCACACGCACATCCACTCGCAGGTGGGCAGCCGGAGCCAGGACCCCTCCCTCTGCGCTCCTCCCAGGAGGCCGGGGGGGGGGGCTACGGCTGGCCTGTCACCCTGCCCCTGAGGGTGACTGCGGGTCCCTCGCTGCCTGCTGCCCTCGTCGGAGTCTCCAGTGCCCACTCCTGACACCTTCACCCCGACGGGCCGAGTGGGCTGCACGCACAATTGCAAGAGGCTCTGACCCAGGCCGGCTGCGGGGGCCGCAGGGTGTCTGTGAGGCTCAGAAACGGCCCCCCCCCCCCCCCCCCCCCCCCGGGGCCCCAGCACAGGAGTCCTCCCCTTGGAGGCCCTGGACTCTCGGCCTCTCAGAGTCAGGCTTCCCGTGCGTCTGGTCCCGAGTAGCCCTCCCTGAGGCCGGAACCCCTTTTTCGGGATTCATTCTGGCAAAACAGCCCCACTGACCTGAGTGGCCGGCCCGGGGTCAGGTCGGGAAGAAGGAAGTTCCGCGAGCGTTGCCTTCGCGAGCGTTGCATTCGCGAGCACGAACCACGGGCCAGTCTCCACCTGCAATCCTCCCGACCTCTGAGGTCATCGCTGCTCCTGCTCCAGGTGCAGATGCGGAAACTGAGTCTCAGGGAGGGTAAACCACTTGCCTGTGGTCAGGTGGCTAGTAGCTAGTAGGACGCAGAAGCCAGACGCAGGCCTCAAATCAGACTCCACCAAACTGCACACCCACGGCCATCCCACCTCCAGGAACTCACTCTGGGTTAAGGGACATGAAATGTGAACCCCCCTCCCCCCAAAAAACACCACTCCCAGATCAGTGGGTCCATCAGTCCGTCAACAAATATGTCTTTTGTTTGGGATACCGTGAAAGTCACAAGGAAAAATCCACAGGAGGCCACTCGGCCCGAGCCTCAGCCCCTCCTGGGGGGCAGGAAGGGGGGGCCCTGGGGCCTGCCCCTCCAGGTCACCCCAACAGAGTGTCCTGTTCCTCAGGGGATCCCGGCCGGGTCCAGTCCTGCGCCGGCGCCTGACCCCCCAGGGCCTCGTTTCCCCCGGCAGGAGCGCAGCTTCGAGTGCCAGATGTGCGGCAAAGCCTTCAAGCGCTCGTCCACCCTGTCCACCCACCTGCTCATCCACTCGGACACGCGGCCCTACCCCTGCCAGTTCTGCGGCAAGCGCTTCCACCAGAAGTCGGACATGAAGAAGCACACCTACATCCACACGGGTGAGCCGCCCGCCGGCGCCACTCGCCCGGCCCGGCACTCGGGGCCACAGGGCCCAGGCAGAGCCTGGGAAGTCCCACCTTCCACTGTTAAAAGGCCCGGCTTTAGGACAGTGGGATCAGGTTACATGGGGCGCCCCCCGCCCCCCCCCGGCCCCCAACAGGAGGGCTGGAGGCACTGTGTTGCTTAAGTTCACTTACTGGTAATGCACAGAGAAAATGCTGGAAGGAAACAGCACAAGTCAGCAATGTTGATCTCCGGGTAGAAGTGAGACTAGCAGGTGCTTTTTTCATTCATTCATTCATTCATCCCTCCTCTCATTCATTCATTCACTCCTCGGCTGTTGCCCGAGTGCCTCTTTTGTACCCGGCTCTGTGCCAGGGGCTGTGGGAGATTGATAAAGCGGAGAGATCCAGCCCCCGCCCCAACCAGGGTACAATGCAGTGCGGGGCGGGGAGGTGTCAGAGGGAATGTGGGTTGGTCCTGAGATAAAACATAATAAAATTTCAGAGAACAAATGCAGGGCGTGGGGGCCCAGACGGCCCTGACGCGGTCCTTGCTGCCCCGCAGGTGAGAAGCCACACAAGTGCCAGGTGTGCGGAAAGGCCTTCAGCCAGAGCTCCAACCTCATCACCCACAGCCGGAAGCACACGGGCTTCAAGCCCTTCAGCTGCGAGCTCTGCGCCAAGGGCTTCCAGCGCAAGGTGGACCTGCGGCGGCACCGCGAGAGCCAGCACAACCTCAAGTGAGGCTGTGCCCCTCCCAGCCCCGACCAGCCCGTCCTGTCCTGCTGTCCCGTCACCCGGAGGGAGGCCAGCCTCGTGCGCCCAGATCCCCAGTCTCCCGGGGGCAACACTGGATGGGAGTCTTGCAGCTTGTTTTGAGACTCAGGAAACTGCTGTGTGACTTTGGGCAAATCGCTTTCCCTCTCTGGACCCATAGTTCTCCTGCTGTAAAGTGTGGGAGCTGGGTTGGGTCTTTTCTGAGCTGAAGGTATAATAACTTGGGTGCCTTCCCCAGGGCAGAGCCCAGAAGGCCAGAGCAGCCCCACGTGGACCGAGATGCCACGATCAGACCAGACCCGCAGAGCCGGGACCCACAGAGAAATCCTCCCGGTGCCTTCTGCCCACAGCGCTGGGATCCGGTCCCCTGGGTCTTGAGGGGGCCTCTTTCAGGCGGCCAGATGGTCAGAGCCACCTCCTGCCCCGGTGGGATGCCCAGCACCTCTCTGCTTCAGCCAGACCTGCTGGCTACCCCCCACTTCTGACCGGCACTCAGCTGGGCTCTGGTCTGCCCTCAGACCCCCGGGCTGGAGAAACCAGCAGTTATTGCTGTCAAAAGCCTGTTCCCCTCAACCGCTGTACATGGAAATAAAGACACAGATTTATTTACATCTGACCAGCATGTATGAAGGGCCTCCTGGGTGCAAGCTGACCCCCCTTGGGAGGGGCAGGGGGAACTTTGAAAAGCAGAGGCAGCTACGCAGCTGCCCTCAGACAGCTTGGGAGCCGAGGCCCAGGCCACATGGAAAGGGCTGGAGCAGAAGGACTGGACCCCACAGGGTGTGACAGGGTCACAGGTCACGTAGCCAGGGCTGTCCGTTTCCTGTGGCGGCTGCCACGAGTCACCACAAACTCAGCGGCTTCGAACAGCACAAGTGTATTCTCCGACAGCCCCGGAGGTTCAGAAACCCCATGTGAGTCGCCCAGGGCTAGACTCGGGGTGTCACGGAGTGCACCCCGCGAGAGGCTCCAGGGCAGGTGGCTTGCTCTGACTTCCAGAGGCCATGGAGTCCAGGGCTTGTGGCCGCCGCCTCCCGCCTCCCGCCTCGAAGCGCATCAGGCTGACCTCTGCCTCCCCTCCTGGCTCCTCCGCCTTCACCTTCCTGCCTCCCTCCCGAAAGGACCCTGCTGATCACCGGGGTCCACCTGGCTGACCCAGGGTCAGCTTCTGGGCAAGGTCCATGTGATCACTGGGGTGGGCTGACATCCACGTCCTGGTCCCTGGAGCCGGGAATGTTGGCGCATATGGCCAGAGGGGCTTTGCGATGTGATGCAGTGAGGCCTGGCGCCGCCCTCGCCGGCTGTGGGCTTCAGGCGAACGCCTCGGCTATAGATGGTGAGCATAGGGATCCATCCCTGGGGGGCATTGGGAGGACCCGAGACCAGGTGTGCACAGCAGTGAGCAGGCCCAGGGCAGGGCAAGTACAAGGCTGGCTCGAATGCCACCCTCCCGTGGTGGCTCCCATCCCAGGTTCACCCACCTCTGAACACTGAGCTCCTGGGGCTCCTGCTCACAGCGCAGGACCCCCTGAGCCTGGCCCGGTGGTTGTCTGTGCGTAGCCAGCGTTCCCTTTGCTAGAAGGTATTTCTCTGGGCTCTCGCTCTCTGCACCCCGCCCAGGCCTGGCCCAAGCAGGGGACACCTCTAACTGAGTCACTTCCAGGTGCTGCGCGGAGCCCAGGGCTTCCACACGCTGCCTCTAACCTGTGCCACGCTCCCATTTTACAGAGGGGGCAACTAAGGCTCAGAGAGGCTGGCCAACTTGCCCAGGGTCACACAGCGGGCGAGTGCAGAGCTGGGGCCAGGATATCCGATCCCAAGCCCTTGGGGTCTCCATTCGCCTTTCCTCCCAATGACACCGGAGGTGTTTCCTCAGGTCTTTGCCTCTGCTGGGCCCGCACGGGTTCCGAGGCCGTTGGGGGCCGGGGACTCCCCGGCTCTGGGTTTGGCTGGGCAGGACCCCGGCCTACTTCATTCCTATTTACCTTAGCCAGAATTCCCCGACAAACCTGTCGGAGGGTGTGGGGTGGGGTTGGACATTTGCATGGGGAGGTGGGCAACCTCCCCGCAGGCTCCCAGTTCCCGTCCTGCAGGCCCGGCTCTTGCGGCCGGAGGAGAAGGGCCTCTAGCAGCCAGCGGCCGGAGCCAACAAGGCTGGAGACCTCCATCCCCCTCCTGTCTGTGAGGTGGTGAGGCCCGTGCAGGGGTAGGACTTGCCATGAGCCACCCCGTGGGCCAGGCCTGCAACGGGCTCCTGACCCCCGGGTGAGGGGCCCTGCCCTGCACCTTCTAGATCTGGGGAAGTGGGAGGGTGGGTGCTGGACACACACACACACACACACACACACACACACACACACACACGGGAGCTGCTTTGCATGTGCCTTGTTTGCTAAACAAAACCACAGCAATACCAGGATTTCAGCCACTTCTGCGCAGGGCGGGCCGAGAGCGAGACAATGCGCCTTTCTTCATGTGCCCAGGTTCAGGGTGATCAGGATTTAGCCAGTGGGCCGCTCCACTGAGTGTCCACACGGGGGGTGCGGGGGGAGGCACTGCTGCCTCAGAGCAGTGGGGGCTGGACCCCGTCTGCACGCTGCAGAGAAAGGGGGCCCGAGTGTGGGCAGGGATGGGGGCGCTCCGTGGAATCTGCTTCTCCCTCTCTCCTCCTCTCCCCCCACAACAGAAGCAGCCGTTGGGTTAGGGGCTGCGTGGAGTGCACCCCGCTCCGCCCGCTCCCCTCACCGGAAGGGCAGGCGTGGCGGCTGGAGGAGGCTCTCAGAGGGCCCAGCCCACAAGCCCGCGCCGTTCTCCGTTCTCAGGCTGCGAGCTGAGCTCCCCGTCAAATCCTGTCCCTTCCTCAGGATCAGGGCCTGCTCATCCCACTGGGATTGGTGGCCCACTGGTGGGTGCGGTGGGGAGCCCCCCCACTGTGTGATTGGGGGGGGTTCGACTGTCTGTTCTCTGCTTCTCATCCCCCCACTGCCTCCTGCCTGGACTCCCACCACCCGAGTCGCGGTGTGTGAACCGGGAGGCAGTGTCCAGCCTGAGAAGAGGACGCGGCTTCCCTCCGAGACACCAGGGCGCCGGGGCCCGCAGAGGGGAGGCGGTGGCCCCCGTCATACCAGTCACCGCGCCTGCGAGCGCCTGTCACACAGAATCCGGGTTTCCTGACCCCCGGGCTAGGGGCCTTCCCAGCAGGGCTATGGGGGTGATTGCATGACACCAGGGGGCCCGTTTATATGGGACAGGGAGTGACCGGTGGCCTCTGACGGTGCACGGGGCGAGGGGACTGTGCGCACTGACCCCAATGCTGAGGGCAGGCTGGGTGTGGGCGGGGCCACGTGAGACTTCAGGAAGGGACTCAAGCTAGAGCTTCGATTTACTCACCAGCAAATAACAAAACCAGTATTTCACCATTACACGAACTGGCCACATTAGGGAGCAGAATGCAACCTCTGAATTACTTCCCGGAGAAAATGTCCCGTCAGTGGTGGCAGCCTCAGGCTACATCCCCAGCCCATGTGCTCCGCACCCTCCTGCTTGGGGGTCACGTGGCCCCCGCAAACAAGTCGCACCCCAGCAGGGCAGTCAGCCCCCCCTGTCCCCCAGCCCCAGGACCAGGGCCCCTGAGGGACAAACTGGGAGATGCCCAGAGGAGGTGGCCATGGCATCACTGATAGGATGGAAATGTGCCTCCAGGGCCGGCCCAGGCCTGGGTGTGTGGCTGAGCTGGCCCCAGCCCGGCCCCATCAGCCACTGCCCAGAGTGGAGAGCGCCGGGCAGGAGCGGATGGACGGCAGGCCTGGGAGGAGGCAGGGCCTGGATGCGGGGACAGTGGGGGAGTGGAAGGGTGAGGGTTCTGGATTATGGAGGAGAGTAGGTGCTATTCCGAACGTTCCCTAGAGACCAAACGCGGCTCCCCCACGGACTGCAGACCCAAGTCCCAGCCCCTGGCCTGGCCTGGCCTTCACTGTCCTAGACCAGCTCCTACCCAGAGCGGGGCAGGCTACTCCAGAGAGAAAGGTGGGACGAATGGGGGGTGGGAGGATGGAGGAGATCCGCCAGACTCTGGCGGCCAGAGAATGACTGACGGAGACTCTGTTCTGGCCAGAAGCCACCAGGCTGGGAGGACCGTGCGCAGTGGGGCAGCAGAGAGTCTCCTACAGTCACCGCAGCCACTGACCGCTTTGCAGACCAGGGCTGAGCCGGGAGACGTCAGACTGAGCTTTAGAAAGACAATCCGCGTGGGTGCGCGGCGCGGCCCGGGAACGCAGTGGGGCCAGGCGGCCGGAGGCCCATCCCAGTCAGTATCCAAGTGACAGCAGCACCTGGTGTCAGCCAGCTCCCGGCTCAGGCTGCCCCAGGGGAGCCCCTCCCCAGGGAGGGAGGACGCAGGACGTCAAGGCCGGACCCTGGCTTCCCCGAGACTCTGGTCTTTCCCGGGAACTCTCGATGCCATTTCTCTCCCTCGTGCTTTGCCCACGGTGTTCCCTCCACCTCTCCCCTCCCCGAACCCTGGAAGCCAGCTCAAGTACATAGATTTCCCACGTGTGCTCACCCCAAGCCCTCCGCTCTGCTCCTCGGAATCTGAGTTGAAGAAATGGTCATGGGTGGGCACAGCGAGCAGCTACAGGGCTGTCTTCTGAAGCCCACGCGTCATGGGAAGCATTGGGACATCCTAAGCTCTCGCGAGAGGAGACTGGCTGCATGATCAAGGGTCTGTCCACACAGTGGCCAAGCGGCCACGGAAAGGACAGGGCGTGCTAGCCAGCGACCTGGCGCTGTGTGGGGTGAAAAATACTGTTTCTCGATCGTGTGCGGCCCTGCGGGAACAGCACCACCCACTCCTGCCGACACAGAGAAGACCTGAAGGAAGTGCAGCCAGCCACGGGAGGCAGCTGTTTCGTGGCCAGGAAGGAGGGCTGGGTCTCCCTCTCCATGCCGTCTGCAAAAGAGACTTGGACTTGTGTGTGTGTGTATCTTTTTTTACTAAAAAAAAAATAAAATTTTGAAGAGAAAATAGATGTTGCAGAGCAAATGTGTCAATAGAGGAAGCTGTCTGTGATATCGTAAGTGAAAAGTGGTTTAAAAATCACTATACGCCACACGATTCCATTTTGTTCGCTGCAAACGCGGGGAAGGAAGCCGCGGGACGAAGAGCGGCGTATCACCAGTGGCCGAGGACGGGGGCTGTGCGTCTTGGTCTCCTGGTTTTCGGGGTGTTTGTTGTGTTTTTCTGCAGTGGGCGCACACGATAACATTATCAGGGGCGTTAAATAGGCTCCCTCTGCACAAACACCATTTCCCTGCCCTGCGTTGGCCTCTCCGCCCCTCCCTGCAAGCGGCTGGCTTCCAGGGTCCCGTGGGCGTCCCGTGGGCAGGTTCCTTCCTCCTCCACGGCGCTGGCTGGCCTGTCCCCAGCCCCCAGCCCCTGTCCCCCTCCCAGCAGGTACTAGGCGGAGCCCAGCACCTAGTAAGTCCCCAATAAGTCTAAGGTGGCCATACTACCCTCTCAGGGACCCTGGTGCCTCCTTGGCAGGTGGCGGGGACCCCCAAGGTGGAACCCTGCCTTGGGAGCAGTGGGGTGCACCCTGGCTGTGGGAGGA